ATTTGTTATCACTCTATATTTCCTCCGAAACCTAAACCATTCTTATGGGAATTCGATTGGTGTTAGGTGCAATTTTATTGCCAGATATAGCCTCCAAATTCTGTTCTAATTCCTATATGAATTCAACTGATAGTAGGAGTGTTATGATATTTTTCTTCTAGCACTAACCCTAGATAAGGGGATTCACGCGCTGCCAAACTTTTGGAAATAGGGTTTCTCTCCACAAAAGAAAGCCAACTAGCATGATTCTCATGATTTTCAAAAACCACATATTCCATTCTTTTATTGTAAGTAGGTTCTCTCCACAAAAAGAAAGCCAACTAGCATGAGATTCTTCTCACAATATTTAGTAAAAAAAGGCAATCCCCTATTGGTGGAGCGTGCCACCCTTTGGTGGCCAGTCTTGGGCCCCACCCAATTGTCTTATGTGATTTAAACGGGCTTCCAATAATTATGTAGGTCCCACAAATTTTAGAAACAATAAAAATTGATTTTTAGATTTTTCAGACCTCTTAGTTCATTTAAAATTTTATAAATGAATTTATCTTGATTTCTAAATCCAAATGACAAAATTAAAATATCAGAAGATTCATAAAATTCAAATAAATATTCTAAAAGTCAAATAACATAAAATTAATTAAATTAAATTAATTTTGATGGGAATCAAATCCAAATAGCTCTATGATTAATCAGTGCATACGAGCACTCCACCTTCACCTGTAGACCATAATCCACACAAGCTTTCTCAAATTGACCCAACAGTTCCTATGACCCACAGTCCACTACAAGGACTCATAATTGGACCGCTAAAGTCAATCAATGGGATAAGTTACGTAATCTCAATCTGTGGATTTTAAGTGCTCCCCTAAAGACAAACCATGATCCACCAACCATGATGCAACTATGGCTCTAAAGTGCACGGGAGTAATCTCTCGCACATGTATATAATTCACCCTTAGTAGTGGATTACTATCTCAATACGGCTATCTATGTATATATCGTGTGATGATACAACATTGAGGTTTTAGTCATATCTCTATATACTATTTATCACACACAAAGGTCATACAATCCCTCGACGTTCATCCGGACATACTCGGACCTCATCAATGGCTAGCCTACTAAACCTTTTTCGGTGTCATCTCTATGTCTAGGTGCCTTGGGTTTTCCAACATAGCTCGTCTAGCACGTCAAGCCTAGTCCAAGTATCGGCAAATTGCATTTGCCTAGTATGGTCTACAAAAAGACTCCTACTGAGTTTATTATTTAATTATTTAAATGTTTGTACAATTTTTCTTAAGGCCTTTAAAGGCCACGATAAACCAATCAGATTAACTATAGCATGAGGACTGGGACAAAGAAAATAGAAAAATATTGAGTGAATTCAAAATTTTCTATTAAAAAATTTTGGTTGATTTAGAATAAAATAAAAATGTTTGTTTGATTTTCTTCAAAGCAAGAACATTTTGCAGGAATATTAGCTCGCCCCAATCTGTACGACAAATGCTGAATTTCTTAAGCAGTATATGTCATTATCATGCAGTCATGGCCTTCAATTTTGATTATTCAATCATAATCCTTGACAAACAAAAGAATAAAAAACAAAGAATGATATTCTATAGGTTGTGGGCAGAGTTCATCATATATAAATTAAAGTTTATTAATACACGAAGACTCATTTTCAAAGTAGTAAACCCCTCCATACTGGGTACTAATAAATACGATCTCCGAACAGACGTAAACATGACATCTTCTTTTATTTTTTAAAATTATTACTTTTAACGAATATGGAACCTTCTTAATTTTTGTTTTAACATTTTAATATAAATCTTATTGTTCAAATAAATTTTACCAATTCAAAATAAAAAAAAACATTGAAATTCATAGTGCATATTCTCCCTCACATGTGGGAATTTCTCCTTACAATGTCATTATTTCTTACTTCTATAGGAATAAGAATAATATTAAGAATTTTATCAAATAAAAGTTTATCAATTTAAAATCAGGTATATAAAATTAATCTGTCGTTCAACAATAGAGTTTCTAATCAAGGTAAAAAGGAAAATAGCCCATCCAGATTGGAACTGGCCGATCCGGATCAAGAATCGAAGGGGTCAAACCGGTTCCCTTGAAATATCATGAAACCAGCCAGCTTCCCCGTGTTCTATTGGAGAACCAGTTAGAACCGGCACCACTTGTTTTAATTTTTTTCCAATTATTTTTATATTTTTTAATGATTGGTTAGGGAAATTAGATTGCCAATCTGGTTCATCGATTCACAGAACTAGATCGAAAATCTGGATGCTCGATCAGGGTCACCAAACCAGATTTTAAAACCGTGGTTCTAACAATTTGGTTTCCTTTTTATTTTTAAATTGTCTAAATTTTTATCATTTTCTAAAGGAGAAGGTTTATATAAGGTGTGACTTCATACTATGGAAGGGAAATGCACCTCAAAAACCCATTGAGCAATATTGTTCTAATGTTAAAAACTTTAAAATTAATCTCGACCTAAAAATGTATGGATATAAAAAGAATAATAATTGTAATTTTGGAAAATAGTACATCTTGTAGCCCAATTTTTGGAAAAGTTTTTTAAAAAATTTAGTTTGCTCCTAACAATTTGGATTTGAATGCAAATCTTTGAGCCCTATTAAAATGGACTCCAATAGGAAGCGTAGGGCTAGCAAAACGTCAGGCTTAGGCTCAACAAGCCAGGCCAAGCTAGCTTTAGCCCTAGTCTCCATAGGGTTGGCCCAAGCTCTGCCTATCGCTGACTAGGCCAAAGAGGCCCTAGTCGAAGCGTGACCCTAGCCATTAAGGTTAGGCCGGGCCAATCAAATAAAATTAAAAAAAAAAAAGGGCGCAGGGCATGACATGGCCCTGGCCCGTTGCCACCCCAACGGATGTCAGAGTTGATATTGCAATGGTGACGCATTATTATTATTCTATGGAATTTTTATATGATTGGATTACCCGTGAACCATACAATCCAAAGAGACATGTTCATATATAGTTTAATTTAGATAATGTCTTGTACAAAAAGATATTCATACTTGATTAATGTGCACGTGGGTTTCAAAGGGAAATGGGGCGATTAAATAAAATTATAAAAAATAAAAAGGGGAACACCATTTAAATCTCGGAAATATCCCAAAGAAAAAACTCCTGGGCACTTGGGCCCACCTCATTATTTTGCCACCACTTCAAGTGGGACCCACAAGAGGACGACAGGATGGTCGGAAACCCAAGGCCGCGTAATGTGAAAGATGACAGCTGGCACGCCACATCAGCCGTGAAGAAATCTACCTATAAAAAACCCTTTCGGGGCATTCGATTCTGGCGTTGCGAGTTGCGAGCAACGGAGAGTGCGAGACATGTCCGCCCGTACGACCGCACCCAGCGACCCAGGCGACCACCAAGCGCGCCGCCAGGAACAGGAGGACGCCATCATGGTCCGGGCCTTCCAGCAAGTAATCAGTGGGTCGAGCTTGAGCCCAGTTGGGCTGGAGCCCGAGCCCGCACCCTCCGAGACCTACAATGGGAGTTCCTCCAACCCAGCAGAACCCACAGCGGACCCAAGTCCACAAGGCAAGAGATCCTCTTCAACCTCATTCCTTAACATCTCAAACTTCGATTGGTTCTCTCTTTCTCAACCTTGACGGAACTGTGTATTTTTGCAGCTTTGAGCTCAAGTAAGAGGAGGAAGTACAGGGGAGTGAGACAGAGGCCATCGGGGAAATGGGCAGCCGAGATTCGAGACCCCCACAGAGGCATAAGGGTATGGTTGGGCACTTTCGAGACAGTGGAGGAGGCGGCCAGGGCTTACGATGCAAAGGCTGTGGAGTACCGAGGAGCTCGTGCTAAGCTCAATTTCCCCGATGACACTCTACCTCTTTACCAGGCAGCGTTGCCTATCCCTCGAGCTCCTGAGAAATTCAATTATCAATTCGAAAGCCAGCCTTACCAACCGCATCAACAAAGTACTGAATTACGGGAAGTTGGAAGCACATCAGCATCCATTTCTTCACAGGGCGATGCGCAAATCAACGAGCAAGTAAATGTGCAGTATCAGCAAACTGTGCAGACCAGCGATTACCCCGTATGGGACATGGTTCCCAATTCGAGCAGTTGTGAGCATTACTATAGTACCTATGAGTCCTTCTCTTCAGAGAGTGAATTTTATGGCTCCCTTTCAGCGCCATTGCCACAACAGAACCAAACTGAAGGATTACCTGTATCCTTTGCTACAATTCCTCTGGATCAAGACTGGATTTTTACCAACCCTTTGGATGAGTTTCCTTTTGTTGCAACCACTAGGCCACCAGATCACATTCCGTGATTGCGAAAACATTGATCCTTTTAACTCAAGTAAGCGAAGAAGGAGAGGCCGAAGCAGCAATCGGTTTGTGTTTATATTTTAGAACTAGAGAGAGAAAATTAGAGCAGGAACCTAGAGGTAGAGAGAGAAAGTTAGAGCAAGAAGCAGAGAAGAAATTTGTTTTTCGTTTTGAAGTAGAGAGAGAAAATTTGTTCATTTGTTGGAGGAAACCTGAGTTTTAACAGGCTTCTGAAACTTTCTGAATTTGATTTGAATAGCGTGCGAAATAAAAATAATAACAATAATTTAATTTTCCTCTGTGTTTTTGACGTTTGATTCATGGTGGAAAAATGGCTGTGACGTTAGTGGGTTTTTTGAGCGAGATTTTGGCGGGTGGTTTCCTTTGACACGTCAGATACATATAGTGGGCCATGTCCGAGCCACGTGTTGGTTTTCTTTCATTGGTCAACCGGGAAACTTAGGCGCAATCGAATTAGAGAGGACAAAATTGGGATTGTGGTGTTTCTCAGGGGTGGAGGTTTTGTTCACACGCTAAACCCATCGCAATGGGCACCACTTGACCCAGTAACTCCACTACTTGACACGTGTCTTCTTAATCCAGAGTTCCACGTGGCACATGGAGACTTGGCGATATCCTCTTTGATAGTCAAGTGAAGATATCGTTCCACGTGGTTTCTAGGAGCATCTCCAAATTTTATTTAGGGTTCATATCAAATTATAAAATTTTAAAGTTAAAAAATAATTAAATCAAGTTAATCTATAGGCATATGAAAACTTAAAAATGGACGGTCTAGATAGTTTGTTGCAAGATGCACTATTTTTTATAATCAAAATCTTTTTTTTTTTCATGTTCATACATTTCGATGTCAATATGATCAATTAGAGAGTTTTTTAACATTAAAAAAAATTTCGATAGATTTTTGAGGTGTATCTGTATTTCTACATTTTAAAATTGCAACCTTATTTGTATATTTTTTATTATTTTAAAAGCTGCTCATGAGTCACGGTCATGCATATTTTTTATAGATATTTTAAAATTAAATTTTAAATGGTGAGAAGTATTCTAAATTAATTAAAAAGGTAACGTATAAATAAATAATATTTTTTGTTATTTTTCTAAAAAAAAAACTTTCAATTGATTAGAAAAATGTAATATTAGAAAAAAAATAAGAAAAAATAAAAAGAAGAAAAAGAAGGAGGGACGTTAAGGGTAAAATGAAAAAGACTATTATCAACGTTTTAAACGAGATTTAAATGCTTTCATTGCTTTTCTTCGACGTCTCCTACGATTTTTCTGTTTTTAGCACTTTAGACGATTATTTTATGGAAAAAGTTTATATAAAGATGCAACTTTATAATGTAAAACTATGAATGCATCTCAAAAATCCATTGAAAAAAGTGATTTTAATGTTGAAAAACCCTTTGATTGATCATCTCGACATCGAGATGTATGACCATGAAAAATAAAAAGATCTTAAGTCTCAGAAATAGTGCATTTTACAACGTATTATCTACACCGTTCATTTTCAAGATTTTCATAGATCTACTTGATTTTAGCTATTTTTTAAATTAAAAATTTTATAATTAGATATAAAAATAGATTTTGAAATAATCCTAAGAACATTTTACATCAAAATTATATACCATGATAAAATTTAACGGTGCACCTTACCTCTATAACTATGGATGCATCCGTATGCCAACTGCATCTTTATTTTATTGATTTGGGCGACACATGATTTCTAAAGATCTAATAACCTTGCGCTCCTTAATAAACCAATTTTTTAAAACCCGTCTCATTCTCTTCTTTCCAAATCATTCATTCTCCATGCAAGTCTTGTTCATTTCCTTTGAAAAATTGTTTTAAGGAAAAATTATTTCATGCGGGCTGGATCGTATATCTATAATATGTGGAGCCCACCGGTCAAACCGGCCACAGGTTATATCAGCCGAATTGGCAGCTGGAATAGGTCAAAATAGTTGTTCAAAAAAATTAGAAAAATAGAAAAATATTTAATAGAATTGACACTAGCTTAAATCATTTTGAGCATATTAAAATGGTCAGATTCAAATCATTTCAAATTAGATTTAAGTGCATGGATGCTAGAGAAAACGGCAAAAAGACTACATTCAATTTTTCAGAAAACATGAAAATCTTGAGCACTTGATCTCCATGAATTTGGTTTTTATCCAAGAAATAATTGTTGATATGTTGTAGAAGGTTCAAAGATGATGATTTCAAGACAAATTTCAAGAAGAAAGAGGCCAAGAAATGCCTGAAATTAGTAAATAATGTAAATTTTGAACATCCCATTTTAATATAGGCCAATTATGTAAGAAAATTGACATATTTATCAAACCTAATTGGATCGGGCAATTCCAATTTGGATCAACAAATTTTAAAAAGGGTTGACAATGGGCCGGTTGGCTTGGCCCTACCTAATCTTTTTAAAAAACCATTTCATTTGTTTACTTTTAGTGGATTTGGCCTGGCCCAGCCTAGCCTTTCCATGTCCTAGGCTAAGGCCAATTCAGCCCAAACACAAATATTCATGGATATGATAAAAATGATTTCAAGTCCTAAAATTAATTTTGAACTGTCTATTTTCAAAATTCTAAGTGTTATTATCACCGTTTTTGGAACTCAAATTTCATGATTTCATAATTAAGGGTTGCAATAGATTTCAATACATTGCAAGGATTTCTAGCGCAAAAATTGCATCTTCTGGCATGATTTCGCGGTCTGCCTTACTTCTATAAGGTTGATACTTTATACAAACCTCACCCTTTGATAAATTTCTCTCCTTTTATATAAAATTTTAAAATCCACTCAAAATTCACTAGATAATTATTTAGAAACAAGACTTTGAGTTTTTCAGCTTTTAGATTTAACTGTTAAGAAATTGGACATTGCCTGTCGAATATTTGACATTAATTTTTTCCAGCATTCATAGAATTGAGTTGAAACTTCATTTTTCGTCTAATGTCGGTAGTTTCAAGAGGTTGCATCTTCAGATTTTCATTTCCTAAAAATTATTCTAATTTGATTCTAGTGAAGGAAGCATAAGGTGAGTACGCTCTTGTGGGAGTAATGAATCTTTTCACAAAAATTTAACAATAGAATAACCATGGCTAAAGTAAGTAATACTTAATTAAAACAGGGAAATATTTTCAGTAGATCTTCTTTTACTATTTAAAGCCTCTTAAGAATTATAAGTTTTATATTATTAAAAGAAAAATGATCCTATAAGACTTTCTCCTATTTATGTGTGTAGGACTCCAAAAGATCACCATTAAATTCGACATGGATCTATTGAAAAGTCAAATCTCACACCCATGAAATAACTTTTTTAGATATTTGTGCCTAATTTTAATGGTGATCATTTAGGGTCCTACACATATGGATGGGGGAGGGTCCTATAAAATCATTACTCTTATTAAAATTGTTGCTCACATCATTTTTAGAGAATAAAGTAAGGCCGATGCTCAAAGAAGGAAAATCCCATCACAATTTCTTTCTGGTTTCTTCTAAGTTTCCCAAATCAAACTAACATAAGCCTAACATACTAAAAAGCTTTTGAAGCTGGTTTTGTTTACTGTTTCAAGGTTCCTTCTTTATTGGGCAAGCTTTTTATTCTTTCTCTACAACATAAAACTTATATACTTCCCCTTATCCAATCGTCCATTATGAATGGATGGCTAAGATTGTCTCAATCACAATGTCACATCTCTACACTATTTTATTTTTTATTTTTTTCTATAAATTATTTTGACACAAACAATCCTCTATTAAACTTGCACTAGCAAAAAATATATATATAAAAATAGTTCTAATAAAATAAAATGATTAAAATACCTTTCACATTTTCTAGGGGTATTTTGGTTATTATATTTTATTGAAAATTTATTTTTAATGTTTTTATATGTGCGCCCCAATGAGAATATGGCATGTACCAAATTTTACATATTCATAAATTTGTATAAAAAAAATTAAAAATAAAATACTTTAAGGCGTCGAATTTAAGATCAAACGATGAGTAATCTCTTGATCAAAATTGGATGGCTGGATGGTAAGGAAAGCGTAAATCTGTACGGAAAGTATATCCCTTCTTAATAATCAATAGTTGCACATTACCACCTGCAAAATCTGTTGTGCAAATCATGTTTAGACTTTTAGAGGAAAAAGCACATCGGATAGTAAAGAGGATCTTATGCTCTTTTTTTTTTTGGTTGCTTCTCGTTTCGAAACTTTTAAAATGGGCTGAAGGGGAGTCGTACTTGAAAATTGTGATCACTACGTATATAAACTATTGATTAGGAACCCCCTTTTCATTCAAACAATACTTACATAGATTTATCTTCTTTTACTTTTTAGGGAAAAAACAGAAACGAAATGTAGACAAATCTTATTTTCCTAGTCATTGTTCACCTCCAACAATATCTGAGCAAAAATAAAGGGAAAAAAAAATAGCATAGGAAATTTAAAGGGCAAAATACTTACATTTACGTGGCTCAGTAGTTGCATAGGGACAAGAAACTTCTCTTCCACAAATAAATAAATAAATCATGTAAGCTTAAAGAATATGAGGGACCGTTTGGATCCATCGAAATAGATTACCAAGAAAAATCTATTTCCATTAAAATACATTTTAAGAAAAGTATTTCTTATAAAATAGATTTCGGCTGTTTGGATGCTACATGGATGTATAAAATTTTCATGTTTTTTCTTCTTTAAAAAATTGTTAAATATTTTGTTGTATTATTCATTATATTGTCTTTTTTTTTACTAAATTTGAGATAGTTTCTCTCTCCAAATATTTGAGATAATTTCTCTCTAAAAAAGTTGAAGTAGTTTCTCTCTCTAAAATTTTAAAATATTTTATCTCCATAAAACTTAAAATTTGGGATAGTTTCTCTCTCTACAATTTTTAAGATAGTTTCTCTCACTAAAAATGTTTAAGTACCTTCTCTCTCTCTAAGACTTAAAATTTGAAATAGTTTCTCTCTAAAAAATTTAAATACAGTCTCTCTCAAATTTGATATAGTTTTTCTCTCTAACATTTGAACATATTTTTCTTTCTAAAACTTAAAATATGAGAGTTTCTCTTTCTAAAACTTTTGAGATAGTTTTTCTCTAAAAATTTTAATATACTCTCTATAATACTTATAATTTGATATAGTTTCTCTCTCTAAAAATTTTCAAATCCTTTCTCTCTCTAAAACTTAAAATTTGAGTTAGATTCTCTCTTTAAAATTT